CGTTACGCTAGCGACTTTCGATGTGTGCAGATGAAAAACGCATAGGCACGTATATATTATGGTCTGATATCGACACAAAAGGCTACACATGACTGTACGAAAGGAACAATAGTTATCCATCTTGTACTGGCAGGGGAGCCCTTTCCGCCATCTTTGATCGTCATTACTCACTAGGAAATTATTTGGCAAATTGCGAGCACTAACTTTTGAAGTCGTTCGATTTTGGCTTTAAGCTTGTGTTGCTATTTTCGACTGAGCGACAACTATTGTTTTGCAAGCTAAAATATTTTCTTTTATGCAGAACATGCTTTTGGTCATGCTTCAAGTCTTCAGCATTAAAAAGATATTGAAATTCTTATTTATCCTGTATCACTGATCACTGCAGAAGATTCTTGTGAACTGAGAAGTTAATTATATCAAAGCGACAATCGATTCTTGATCAATAATTAACTACTGTTTTTCAATTAATGACTATGCATAAACTACCTCGAACTGAAACGCACGGTTTCCCTGACGACATGCGACATCCGCAGTTACCATGGCAACGCTGATCGCAGGCGACTTTTAGCAGTCGACCGTTTACGACCAGAATGTTCGTTTACTTGAGTAAAAAGGTAATCTTGATGTATCCATTTATTGTTTAACAGTGAATGTAACTGAATACTGCGTAGTACACGTGACGTCAATTTAAACAAGTTTTCCACTGTCTGAGTGTTTCACAAGCTGTTAATATTTACCCATGCATTCTTTCATGCACGTCGTTTTGAGCACGTTGAACGCATAGACCTGCCACCAAGGAAAAGAACTTCCAGCACATCTTTCACAGTCAGAAATGGGAACTCCGCTTGAATTTTGGACTTGCTGCATTCAATGAAAATATTATGACGAGATCGCTGGTGAGAGCTGACATATTGCTTCCACATCACTTTGACCACGTGGGACAGTTTTGCGTGTATCTTAATCCGAAATGATTTTACCAGCTCTCATATGCTTCGAAGTCCTATGTCAAAATTAACTAGTCAATATGTCTTAGAGGGACACCCTAGACACGATAACCCTATAATTTTTAACTCCCCTCAGAAAAGCTTATCAATTGTGAATAAAGATAAAGAGAAACATCTAGCAAAGACGTCATGGAGATCCGCCTTGAACGCAACTGCATTTTAGGCATGAGAAGTTAAAGCCGTTCTAGATTAATGAATTTCATGACCGTAAGTCCGCAGATCGGTGCTCAAACTTATTTCGCAGTACCCGGTCTTCGATCGCCGATTTCAGACCAGCGTGAATCCTGTTCGGACTGTGGGACTGAGCATATAGCTACTGTTGGGTAATTTTGCACAAGGTATTTCTGATACATGAATGCAAAACAAATATTATCCAAAACCTAGAAGCAACACACACTTCATAAATGTACTGAAAAACTTAATTCGTCGACTTCTCGTCCATCAGCCGCTCCTCCGTCACCTCGAAATTTCAAGTGCAAATGATCAGTATAATGAAATTCGTACTGTCGAATCTACAGGAAAAAGCGAAAACGGTTATGAAACCTGTTACTGAACTTATAGAAGCGTATACAATATGACTTTAACTGATCAAATGGTCGGTCGTTTGCATTTTAAAAGTAACTGTACAGTATGTACAACGTTAAGCGCAACTAAGCATCGCAAAATGCATTGTATTTCAGAAATTCCCAGTAGTCACGAGGCAGTTAAAGAGCTGCTTATATAAAATTCACTCCATCGTGTTGATCTTGACTAGTCGCCTTAGATTTTGCATTGTTTCAGATATCAATCCCGAATAACGTTACCTTGAGATGCACTGCCTGGAATCACAAGGAAGGCTATATCGCCTGCGGTGGCGATGGAGGCTTGCTGAAAGTAATAAAACTTGAGAATTCTGGCACCAATGGTAACGAGAATCTGCCGTTAACGAGCAAGCTCTCCGTCAACCAAACGCTTGATGGACATAACGGTAGCGTTTTCCTGTAAGCATTAAAAAAGTAAAATTTATTGACATAGGTACTGTTAAAGTTATCCGGTGGAACGAAAATTTTCAGAAGCTGGCAACGAGCGACCAGCACGGGTACATAATTGTGTGGACGTTTTATAAAGGTAAATACGAATTAGTATGCAAATAAGATATTTGCATAATCATAAACATTCATAAATGGAGGCAGAAATAACTTCTACATGGCGTTTCCCATGGGGCGTTGAGATAGAGTTCGGTCGCAAATAAATCTGCAGTGTTATCACGTTGGCATATGCGTTCAAAAAATTTTGCGAATAATCTTGAATACGTGATTATAAATGAACAAAATGATGGCCCAATTTCTGACTCATTTGCAGACAACATACGGAACATGCAAAATTTATTAGCATATTTACTCATAATTGGTGTATTGGTGTACTTAAACAAGAACACCTCATGCACGCAAAAGCGCAAGCGTGGATTGTTCGGCGTCCATCAGAGTTCAGCATAACCTAGGCCATTACGAGGAGCAATTGTTCACACAGAGCTACTGATGCAGAAAGTAAATGCACTGAAACACTGAGCTGAAAAAAATGAACGTGCAATCAATTCAGAGTAAGTTCATGCATAACAATTAAAACACATAAGGTACCTAAAACGTTGATTTCTGAAAGAGGATAAAAATGGCCCTGTTTTCTACAACAGTTTTCGTTTCTTCCAGTACATGGCAGCGACAAAATTCATGTTTCCTTCAGACGGATGACAATGCAATATACAAGTTTAAACAGAGCTGACTTCTGCACTATTTGACCATCCATTTCACGAAAGATGTTACTCAATTCTTTCATGATATCATGTATCAAAAGTTGCTCCTTCAGATCTTTCGTCTGTCTAGCCTATGAGCGGGGACCATCGTTTCAGAGAGTAAACAACGGAGCGAAAAAAATGGTTGCACGCTTAATGCGAACGGTTGCACCAATTTTTTCATCTAAGCTTATATCAGGATATCTTCTCCACGGTACAGCTCATTTTCTAGGAATGAGCGTCATAAGAAATGCTGACAACCTAGATTCCAGAATCTCACTATTCGATCGTTTCTGGATTCATGACAGGTCTTCACGGCTACCATAGCAGCACAGCAATACTGTGCTCCCCTTTTCGCACGACATTGTGCCATTTTAATTGCTTGCTCTCCCAGACGAATACACAGAGGACTGATTCTTCCAGTTCACAAATATCTTATTATCAAAAGGCTGATACACTG